TCACACTCAAACTCTATCATACTCTATCTCACTTTCTCCCAGTGTCCTCTTACCCTCGGGATTCAAATAATCATAACTCTTCAAAGACAGTATGTGCCAAGGATTTGAAATGTAAATTTTGTTGATTTATTTAGAATTTAATAATTTTAAATCTTACGGTGGTATAATAGTTAGCGGCTCGGATTAAGGAATCAGAGAGCCGAGTTCGAATTCCAGTCGAATCCATTACATTCACTTACGGGCTAATACCCTTGGGAAAGATGTGAATCCTTTTCTTTCCCCCCCCCCCCAGCTATGTGTAAATAGCAGGATAGACCGGTTTCTATAGCCTTGTCTGGCAACTGGTCTATCGCAAAAAGAAATGGCAACCTACCGCGAAAAAAAATCTGCCTCGTATATGGCACATAACTTACTGACTTTAAGTATTTTTTTTTTTTTTTTTTTTTTTTTTGACTCGGACGATAAACTATTCTAAAATTTAAATTTGAAATAATAAGATATTATTCATAATCATTTCTGTCTAGTTTTCATTTTCATCTATTTTATTGCTTTCTTTCTACCCATGTCGTTTTACATTCTACGGCTATTAAGCAATCAGTATGCAACGGAAATAAATACCAACCCTTCGATAAGATTTGAACGCGCACCGCCTATCCTTGGGAGTCTGCTTGACTAGGGCAGGACACCCCACTTGAAATTACACAGACTAACAGAACTCATTTAGTAATATATCTACATTCTTCATTAGGACAATAAGATAGATAGATAGATAGATAGATAGATAGATAGATAGATAGATAGATAGATAGATTTCATGAATCTATACTCTAAGTATTGATTTTCAGTTGAGTTATGTATTTGTATAATGGCAGTATCAGAAACCTGAACCCAAATAATATTTACCTCATTGTTTAAAGATGGTAAAGTTAAAACGGGGGTCCTGAATATTTTCTTTTTCAAGTCATCGTCATCTGAAAAATAATATATTAATAAAAAAGCTACAACTGAAATAGAAAGAAAAGCTATTAAAAATATTGTTACTAACATGACGTCATACGTAAATATCTTTCCGCCAATTTTATGGGCAGTCATTTGACATCATTTTTAAACTGTGTAATTTATCTGGAATATTTATAATCCCCATTCAGAAAAATATTTTAATGTCCACCAGTTTTGATTTTTCTTTAATACTTACCAATATACGTTGTTTTTAGAGGAACAAGAGTCAGAAACTACGAGTAAAAACAAAAATCGGACTTGGTTTTCCCAATATTGATACAGATCTTTTGTCTGTTTCCGTATTAAAATTAATGGTGACCTGTTAATACAATATGGAATTCATTAGCAAAGGTCGTCAGAACGAGTTTGCTACACATCTACTAGTGATTCTTATATGACGACCATATTGAGTAAAATAGACATTTTTCACACACACACACAAATATATATATATATATATATATAGATAGATAGATAGATAGATAGATAATATTAGTGGTAAATATACACATACATATGCAAAATATATAAATACCCATACATGTATATGTTTTGAATAAAAATTCCAAGAGGATAGAATCCAGGTAGAACTCAATGTCCAGGACAGAGTAAGGATATAATAAAAAGGCTTAAACACTAATATTCCATGGTCATAATTTATTCCATTGGAATCGTAAATACGATCCAATTTATCAGACCTACAAATTCAAAAAGAAAACAGAAAAAACAACTCCGGAAATAAAATATTTAGAGAGAGTGTAAGTATGAGGGTGTGGGACGAATGTTAGAGCTAAAGAGGTAGGTAACAGACTAAAGAAAGAGGGAGATTAAACCTTAACAGAGAGAATTTTAGGAGAGGTGAGTGGAAGGGGTTTAGATAAATGAAATATGAATGTTGTCGGATGTCTAATGCATAAAGATACATTTCGTGGTGATATATATATATATATATATATATATATATATATATATATATATATCATGCACTGTTACATTAGAACATGTACAAACCCACTACAAAAATGTAGATCTTGTTTCAACGTTAATTTTTTTTTTTAACTTTTCATCAGGTATGGAATCATGATGCTACTAAAATATTTTATTCTGAAATACAGTTAACGAAGCGCATCTTCCACTCGCGCCATTGGAAAATTTCCCATAAAAGGTAAAAAAGAAGAAGAAAGAAAAGAGAAGTAAGCTGGAAAAAGAAAGGAAGCTGATGAAAAGTAAAAAAAAAAAAAAAATTAACGTTGAAACAAGATGTACGTATTTGTAGTGGGTATGTGCCATGTTGTAATTTAACAGCGAATAATAAATAAATATTTATTGCTTTACTTTTGTATTGAGCCCTCTTTTAAATTAAAGTTTTGCACGCTGAAATCTTACTCTTCGTTATATATATATATATATATATATATATATATATATATATAAAAAGCAGTCGGAAACGGAATTGAAGTCTTTAAGTATAAGTTAGGTGGAGATGCGTGTGGAAGTTGGATAATTCTTTCCGCAAAATTAGCTTAGATTACTAGCTGTTTAAAATGCAATCTGATTGGCTGATTATGATTACGTGACCAGTCATAGTAATTTTTGCGTCTTAAAAGTTTGTTGTTAAAAATTCGGTGTGTCATAAATAACTGACCGTGGCTAATGATAAAAAAATATTAAGTAGTTCATAACAACAAAGTGTTAAGTCGTTCAAGTGTCAGGAATTCTATTTTAGTGAACCTTAGTGGCAATCCTAAAATGTTCAATCTATAAGGATTAAATTTATATTTTTATATTAAATTTCGAAGTTTCGTCAGTGCATTGTAATAATGACTTCAATCTTCAGGGTTGTTGGCTTCTCTGCTGCTATTTCTCAATTTTTTCGCATTTATGACAATACCAAACTATACATAAATACGAAGAAATCGAGGAGTAGCAGCAGAAAAGCCAACAGTCAGGAAAAGTGAAGTCATTACTACTCTGCGCTAACGAAACTTCGAAGTCGACATGACTGAAAGACCACCACTCATTCAAGTGATAAGTTTCTCCACATTATATATATATATATATATATATATATATATATATATATATATTTCATACAACTGAAATTAAGATGCCATGACGATCATTTTCACACGCGAATTTTAAATTTTAAATTCACAGGAATTTTCAAACTGTTTATCGTATCAGTTTGTTGAATGATCAACGTTTATATATATATATATATATATATATATATATATATATATATATATATATATATATATATACGACAAGGAAGAATCACCAGGCAGGCACAGATTTCTGTTTTGTCTTTCTGTTTTTGTGTCTTTCTTTTATATGGAAAATATAAAACTTAATGCAAGAAAGAGTATATACATATATAATTATTAAACAAGAATATGATAAATCATTATTATATATAATATAATTATATATAATTATACAACAATATAGGTTAGTTGAATGACATAATTTGAAAAACTTCTATTTTACGTGGTTGTCCTAATAATAGTTTTACTGATGATTCCATCAATAAGATCATTATTAGTGCAAAACGTTTTTAGAAGACCAAAAAACGTAACATGTAATTATTATTTATGAATATGAGTACAGGGCTAATAACTGCAATATCGTTAAATATCACTGAGCTGTACGAAAAACTTTCAAAATGATTATATTACCTTTTGATGCTATCTTTTCTTCAATGGTTGGGCCGGCCGGATCTATAGAACTGGAATAAAAATCAACAGTATTTTATTTAATCATATGTACAAAGCATCAACAGGAAATAGATAGATAGATAGATAGATAGAGAGAGAGAGAGAGATGAACATAGATAGATAGATAGATAGAGAGAGAGAGAGATGAACATAGATAGATAGATAGAGAGAGAGAGAGATGAACATAGATAGATAGATATTGAATAGATAGATATTGAATAGATAGATAGAGAGAGAGAGAGATGAACATAGATAGATATTGAATATCTAGATAGAGAGAGATGAACATAGATAGATAGATATTGAATAGATAGATATTGAATAGATAGAGAGAGAGAGATGAACATAGATAGATAGATATTGAATAGATAGATAGATAGAGAGAGAGATGAACATAGATAGATAGATAGATATTGAATAGATAGATATTGAATAGATAGATAGAGAGAGAGAGAGATGAACATAGATAGATATTGAATAGATAGATAGAGAGAGAGAGAGAGAGAGAGATGAACATAGATAGATAGATAGATAGATAGAGAGAGAGAGAGAGAGAGAGAGAGAGAGAGAGAGAGAGATGAACATAGATAGATAGATATTGAATAGATAGATATTGAATAGATAGATAGATAGAGAGAGATGAACATAGATAGATAGATATTGAATAGATAGATAGATAGAGAGAGAGAGAGAGAGAGAGAGATGAACATAGATAGATAGATAGATAGATAGATAGATAGATAGATAGATAGGCTTCATATTCTGTTGTTACTATTCAGCCGGGTATTGTAACTTGATGCGTCAAAATCATGCAAGCAGAGGACTTTAACTCTCCGAGTAAAGTTATAGCAGACGGCCTAAAACGTGACACAGAAATTATCAGTTGGTTGTTTTTGTTTAGCGGCATAACAACCTCTGTAGGTTATTTAATGCCAAAATCTAAATATTTTTTACATTATTTTATTTTATTTTTGCGAGGGTGGGAAGATAATCGTTTTAATAATACAAGTCTTACTAATTAACCCATAGCTGGAGGGAGAATAGGTGGATTCATACATTTCCCAAAGGTAGTTTTGCGTAAGTGAATATAACGAACCGAACTGGAATTGGAAATTTGCTCTCCGATTTCCAATTCCGAGTCGTTATCCATTATACCGCACGCACATCCAAGCTTACAGCACCTGGTATTCCCAAGCGGTAACCCATCTAGGTACTGACTAGGCTCGATGTTGCTTAACTTCGGGTATCGTACGCAATCGGTGTTTCAACGTGATATGGTCGTAAGCTAAATTTTTGAAGAGAAAAGTATGTTATGGTTGAATTAAATCCCAAATTATTTACGTGTTTCGTCGAATGAATTGTTTCTCCAGAACAAAAAAACCGTGAGTCCTGATTATTTCTCCGTCATCGATGTTTTCCCAAGACAAATAACTCAATATTGCATTAACTTTACCCAACTACAAAACAGCAAGAGACAAGAGCGATGCAGTTTAATTGCTAATTACTTGACAGCGAAAAGAATGTTCAAACCCATCAGGCTAACATGTCAGTTTTAGGGAAGATTTGGCGCATTGGAATATCATTCGAAAATCGAAACAAATTATTAAGAAACAGGAAAATTTTATTAGAAACAAATAAAAGAGTGACGAAGTGCTGTGTACTATCAATTACTCTATAGGGCAGTGAATGCTGGACAATTTTCTCACATAAGTAACAGAGATATGGTTCTACAGAAGAATGCTGAGATAAAAGGAACATATGAAACGAGGAAGTTTTATAGACAATGGAAACAAAATTGACACATACATAGAATCAGAAAGAAACACTTAAAATCTCTGGAACATATAATGAGGAAAGAAAAGTTGAGACACACGGGGCATACTGATGGTAAGATGGATAGAAACAGTGGGTAACCTACCTAACTGAGCTTGTGTAAAGGGATGTTAGAACAGGGACCAGCTGGGATAGTAAGACGAAAATATTTCTTAGAATAGGCAGTTGTGGAGAGCTACGATCGCTCACGACCAGTAGGAAGACTACACATAAAAGAATACATGTTTACGATGAAGATGATTATTCTCTATATTTCACAATAATTTTTATTTATTTCAATTTTTGACTATGTAGATATATTTTAAAAATGTCAATGTTGTTCATTGTTTACATTATTCGAACTATTGTCCCCCATATTTGTCGCCATATTTATTACTCGAATAATGTAAATAATAAGTAATACCTCATCTCAGAAATGTAATAGTCCGAATAATGTAAATAATGTACATAATACCTCATCTCAGAAATATAGAGTCATTGTTGTTGTTAACAATGCCACGTCCCTATGGGAATTGCATTCTTGGGAAAGATACCAGAAAAATTTTCCCATTGCCTCCTTCACGGTTTGGGGTTCAGTATTCTTTCTCTTAGATTAGTTGCCGCCCAATCTAGCCTGCTATTTAACCTATATCACGTTGAAACACCGGTTTTTGTACGATCACCGAAGTTAAGCAACGTCGTATCTGGTCAGTACCTAAATGAGTGACCGCTTGGGAATACCAGTTGCTGTAAGCTTGGATGCGCGGGCGGTGTAATAGATAACGGCTCGAAATTGGAAATCAGAGAGCCGAGTTGGGTTCGTTATATTCACCTACGCCCAAACACACCTGTGAAAGGTATGCATCCACCTCTTCTCCCCCCAGCTATGGGTTAATTATTAGGTTTTGTACCAGTAAATCTTACAATCTAAAAATATTTTCTAGCTGTAAATAACCCTAAAAAGGTTGATAAGCCGTAAAGATCGAATTTGATCCGTAAGAGTGGGAACGAGTTTACGCCTTTTTTAAGGGCCTTTCTTAAGGGCTTTTCTTAAGGGCCTTTCTTCGAAAGTAAAATGCAACAGACAGTCTGAATCTGAACTGGGCTCGCAGATTTCACTTTCTATGCCGATAATCATTATATTATCATCATATCCGCTAGATTCTACTTTCTAGAAAATTGGTAAATGTCTTAATCACCGACGATTCCTGACGATATTTTAGTAATATAAAACATATCAGAGGAATGACAAGAAATGCTACGTAACTCGATTAAGAAAAGTCTTGAGTTAGGATAAAAAATGAAGAGAAACGAAACGAAAATAACGTTCAATGATAATGCTTCATAAAATATCCTAATAACTGAAGATAAACAACAAGAAATAATACAACTGCTTAAGGCCGGTGAAAACATTAAGGAAAGACTCTGAGAATTAAACAAAATGTCATATAACGATTATTTCTAAAGCATTTAATAAAAAATAGTGGCATAATGAAAAGCAACTTGCATATCTGCTGAAGTGTATAATAAATATATAATGCTAGCTATGATAAACGGGTATGGGACATGCAAATTAACAAAATCGAAAAAACGCACAAAAAACAGAGCAATGCTAGGAATAGAGAGTTAGAAAAAATGTCAACATGGATCCGAAAAGAAGCCAACCCTACACGCAAGCCACCAATCTGCCACTGGGTAGCATAGCACTAACGTTTATCTCTGGTGGCCCGCTGTCGGACCGCCGGCGTGTTCGTCTCGGCAATTGTTACCACTGGCGACCACAAAAGGCCCACTGGTGGCCCGCGGGTTGCTGCTACCAGCGGGTCACTAACGACTTGCGTGTAGGGAAGAGATATCATAGATGTTATTAATGAGGTGAACGGTACAAATGACAAGAAGAGCAGATGAAGCAGAAGTATGGTAAATTAGTGCCCGTTGGAGAGTAAACGCAATATGAAAAAGGCCAGATGGAGAGATGAGATAACAGGTTCTGTTGGTAAGACATTCAAAGAATAACACGATGAGAGTCGTTATACAAAGAGTTGGAAAAAGCCTTTATCTAGCCGTGGACTACAATAATTGCTGCTGCGGCTGACGATGATGATGATGATGTTGAATTCTTCCTTCCCCTAATGACTAGAGTCTACCAATTTATAAGAAACGCATCTGTCTAGTCACTAGAGACAAATGTGTTCTTTATAAATTGCTTGTCGCATCATTGTGGTTTCAAAATTTATATCGAAGAACTTAAATCTGTACTGTTTCCTTACCAAGGTAAATTTGAGGAACTGACTACATCACGCCTAACAATTTACATGTCGATCTCCTCTTTAAAATGGAGAATAACAAAATTCAACTCGCTTTAAGTTCAGTTTCATCCGATGCGGTGTCGTAGTAGCAGAAGATTATTCGGAATTATTAGCGAGACGAGTCTCCCAACCATGACTTAGCGATCATTGTAAGAGAATAATGGAGATTAAAGCAAACATTCAAACTTTCGCTCGATTCCATCTCTATTTTTTAAAGAAAACTACACTCTTTTATACTTTCTTATTTCTTTTACATTAGCTTTACTTAAACATTAACCGTTAGAGGGAGATAACTTAGAAAAATATTAAAATTCAACTAATTATCGACAGAAGTTACCTCCCATTAACGATATTTATGACGTGGTTTTTAAGCTGAATAAAATTACTGTAATGGTATATGACTAAATTAGTTTTAATATTCCAGGTGGTCACGATAATGAAACTCCCCAATCCAATACAGACAATTAGAATTTATTCTATCTTCTAGCATCCCTCATAAACAGTTTCAGTCAAGGACCAAAGTCCTTCCCAATGGGAAATAACCTTTTACACTTCACCCCCGTTAGGACTTAGGACTGTGGGACATCATCACAATATTAGTGCTATGGACCCTGAAACACTATTTAAATTATTATAGATATAAAATACTGATTTTATAGAATAATTAAAACTGGTAGAAAAGGATTTATTTTCGTAAATCGAAATTAAAAAAGAAGTTCTAAGTTCCAAAAACTTAAATATGCAAAATTAAATTTTATTTTATTTTTAAATAGACTTTTTGTGGACTTTTAAGCTAATTCCTACGTAGGACTAATTGGGCCTTCAGCCTAAAAGTAAAGGGACCTCTGGTCAAGCTTAGAAAATAGCAATGATATCTTTGAAGAAATAACTTTGAATTCCTCAATTCACTTCATGAAAATTCAAAATCTCACTTTAACCTGATTCGAGCTATAAGTCCAATTCTGACCAAAAGACGGATTTGTGCAGAAACTCTGGTTTGAGCTGAAATTCCAATTCAGGCCCAGAATTGCACCCTTAAAATACAAACTCCGTGGAACTTCAACAGCCCACGCGACGAAACCTCTCATTTTAACATTAAAATTTTCTTTTTAAATTTTAAACTCAATTTAAAACAAAAAATTTTAAATTCACCAAGTAACACAAAAACCTTAAATACTTTTGTTTTAATATAAATTGAAAAATTTTAAAATCACTATTTTTTTCTATTATTTTAAAATTTTAAATTTTAACTGTTCTCTCTTCATCCAGACACAAATTCCAATGCTGGATGTTGAAGCATCAGATGAAAGGCAGATTTTCATTCCCGGGATCATCCTGATTCCAAAAAGGCATTATATGGCTATGTAGAGCAAGTGTAGCCCGAGTTTGAAGGGTTTCAGACACACGAATGAACTAACCAAATTTGCTGTTTATTTATTTAGCGATGATATTTTAAAATAATTTATGTTTAATCTAATTATTCTTCCACTGTTGACTAATCATGAAAATTTGACTTGACACTTTCTACATATTGATGAAAAACGTTCTGTAGGGTTTTCAAACACTCAACGGTACAAACGGAGGGTTAAAATCGCTAAGAAATCTAATCAAGCCACTTTATTGTTCATTAAGGAAAATGGGAACGAATAATTGTACTTAGAATCAAGAGATCTTAGAGAAGTTGACACTCAAAGGTCAGTCTGAAGACAAGGTTGACAGAAGTAAACAGCGATTAACCTAAATATTCTTGTGTAAATGGATGTCAGAACAACTTGGATTGAGAGGAATATTGTAGTGTGAGTCTGGGTATCCATCCCACCCTCGTACCAGAACGAAATTTGCCGTCAAAGAAGCCAGGTTGACTTGAGGTGACCTTCGGGTAGACGCGTGCAGAATCGCAGTTGCACTCGAGTTACAAGCGTGGAAAAGAATCGTATTACAGGAGGTTATATAAACACTCACTCCCAAAACAATTTGGGCAGTCTCTCAGCCATCGTGGATAAGAATGTAAGACCCAAGTTTCAGACGAAGGGACCATTTTTATTCATTAGTGAGCTCGTATTATCATTGGTCTTCACCGATATTTCATTAAAACAGTAAAGGTAGAAAGATAGAGCTGCAAAGTGTAAGAAGTTATAGAGAGCCATTTTCGCCCACGTCCTA